GGCCACAGAAAAGAGATGATTACTGGCATCTGACACTGGGAAAGTGCAGGCTCCCTCAGTGACAGGCAGTTGTAGCCAACAGATCCCAGTAAAAAACAGCTATCTTTATTCTGAGTTGCACGATTGTTTTCCAGTGACAATTGACTCAACAATTAATCCACAGTAATCAATGTACATTTTCAAATAAGAAAAAAACAACAGGCAAATCGGCACCTATTTCTCTATTTTCACCATTATATTTCACCACTAAAATAATTAATTTTTTAGAGGGACCTCAACCGCTTAATTTGACTCACATTCAAATCTGCACAAATCACTTATGTAGGCAGAAGTTACAGTGTAAAAGCACGAGTCGTCTACAATAAAACGGTCCATCTACTGGTTCTGATTCCAGCAGCAACTCAAACAGGCATATAAAAATGGCCCATGCCCACCACACAGGAGGAAAACAGTTGCCTGTAACTATGAAGAGGTTAACCCTGAGGTCCATCTGTCCAAGATCTCTCCCAGACAGCCACAGAGTCTGAGATCCAAACTACTGGGTTGACTTTTTTGGGTGAAGGAATTGCTGCCAGGAAGCCCCAGTTTAAGTGGCCCAGGTATGTTTGGGTTTGCAGATCTGCACTTTCAACCAGCCCTTTATTGTATTACCTGGTTCATAATTTCTGCAAATTGTGGAAGTTTACTCAGCTCCACAAGATTCAGCCACGTCATGTCAAGGATCCAGCGATAGGGCTTGGGAGGGCAGGCTTTCAGGTCCAGAGCTGCTCCTCCTGGGGAAGGGCGTCAGACGGGGTGAAACGCGTGAGCCTGTACTTCATTTTTAGAAATGTACTCTCCAAACAATAAAAGCAAGATAGCCACATGACTGAAAATATGGGAAAATTGGAAAATAATAATATTGCAGAAAATGTGGGGGCTTTTTGGTACATTTCCTTCAAGTCTTAGTGTTTTATTTACTGATTTATACCATTTTATAAGGTACAAATAACAACTCTGTCATTTTTTCCTGCAAGGAATTTTTCTCAAGTGATTATATTTGTTTGCTTTTTATTTTTTAACGATCTAAAATTTATAATTTGATATCAATGAATATGTTGATCTTTTCATGCGTGGGTTTTAAATATCACTTCTTAGTCATTACTCCTCCAGAAGCTTGCCATTAAACACTACTTGTTACCAGGTCAAACAGAGAGATAAACAGATGGATGGGTTAGGGTTAGGGTTAAGGTCAGGGTTAGGGTTAGGGTTAGGGTTAGGGTTAAGGTTATGGTTAGGGTTAGGGAAGGAGGGTGGGAGAAAGGGAGGCTAGGGATAAAAAGAGGGAAGGAAGTGAAGGAGGAAATGAAATAATAGATCTATGGGTTTTTTAGTGGATGACTAATATTTAAATCATTTATCCATTCACTGATGGAACAAATATTTATTGAGCACCCTCTAGGTATTTGGTATGTTCCAGACACTGGGGGATATAGCAGAGAAAAGCCCACCAGACCCTGGCTTTCACAGAGCTTGAGTCCAGTGGAGAATGAGTTATAGCACTAATCATATTCTGAAGCAAATCTCAGGTCAAACGGGCATACCCAGCATTTTCCAATGAAATATATGATGATAGTTACAATTTCAAAATTTCTCTATTGCATGTCTTTGGTAACATATCATAATAATTCCAGTTCCACTGTTGTTTAATTCAGATGTATGCAAAACAGTGATTCTTGAACTTTTAAATCTTATCGTCTTCCTTAAGAACTCATCATTCCTTCCAGTTCACAAATCAACTCATGGACCAAAAAAGGGGGGTGGGGGAACTACAGGTCTTTGCTCTCCCCATCTAGCATCGTCCTGAGTAGCTGTATGAACTAAAGTACTTTTTTCATGTAAATCCATTTCCTCCACCACAGGGGACTTGGGAATCTGTGGCTCTGAGTGCAACAATACTTTTAGAACAACGTGTAAACCTTCTTCTCACCGTCGGCCCCTCTGCAACCTGGAGACAGAGCTGGTCTCACTAGAGCACCATTACTGCTACTGTAGGAGTCACTGGTGCGAGAAGCAGACACTAGAGAGAGCCACCTGCAGCCCTGGCACAGAGACA